TTCTAAAGAAACTGTGGTACTGCGTCGGTGGGAGAGTATCACAGCGTAATTTAATATCATCACATGAGTTGATAACGTAAATTGGTCATCGTTAAGAGTTTCAAAGCTGATGTTTCGAGCGTTAGCCTTTCGTCAGAGCTATTGGAGGAATTGTGGGTTGTGTGTGTTTATATGCAGAAAGTGGAGCTAGGCTATTGGAGGGAATATGGTGACGAATGAATGAATGACGCACGTAAACCCACACATACCCCACAATTTCTCCAATCGCTCTAACGAAGGGCTAACGCTCGAAATGTCAGCTTTTAACTCTTTACGGTGGCCAATTTACGTTATAAACTCAGTTGATAATACTGAATTAAAAGTTTTATGCAGTTTGCTAAATAGCTGAAAGGTGACGCCAAGAAAAAGTAAAAATAAAAATGAATAAGAGCTCCATCATTTCTACCAGCCTGTTTTAAAAATTTGTCAGTAATTATTAGAATCAGTCTGACAACAGACCTTTTGATCCCTGTGACGTCTGTTTCATGATGAGCCAGAAGAGAGTATGGATTAGGCGTCCGTCCATTAAATCTGCCACTGAAGTCATGTCTAATACATTGGCGGTACTGTCGTCTTTATAAGCATCTCTCAAAGCTGATTGTATCATCCTTAAAATCTGCCATAAACTTGTATGGATCTGTCACAAGATATAAACAAGCTGCCTTTAACTAATACTTCTCAAACACGACTTCATAAATGAAGACTCTTAGAACCGACCCCAGATAGAAAACCCGAGAAGCGCCTATTTCAGGACAGTTATGTTCTATGGCACCTAAACTTTCGTGAGGACTTTCTGTATGAGAGGGTGTAAGGGCAGTGGGAATATTTGAATTTCATAATCAGGTGTCAGTCACTGTTAATTTTTTTCTTTAATACATGGTGGTCAAGCCACTGTAAAACGCAATTCCTATTCCCAAAATACAGGAAAGATCATCACGTGATTTCTACGTACAGGTTAAGTTACAATGGTCTCATTTACTTACTTCGTAAAATGGATAAACTTTGCCATCTTTCGCTTTGCAGAATTCGTCCAACAAAGAACTGTTTACAGTATGAGCCCTGTACTTCAACGGAAGTTTCTTTAGAAGTGCAGATTGAAGAAGGAAAAGTTTGACCTTATCCTCGGCAATCTTCATCGCATCCTGCATGGAGCCAAAATTGTACAGATTTTGTCATTGCACAAACCCTCACAATAAGTTTGAAGTGTAAAACAC